AATTTCTCTCTCAGATTTCTTTTACTGTCGTTACGATTTTATTTAAGCCCTCATCGACGTTTTTACCAATAATTTTTCAAATTAAATGTTCGTTCAGTTGTCTTTGAAATGATTCCTTAACTTTCTCGTCTTGTAATTGGGCTGTATCAATATTTTTGCGAGACTTCTTTTTGATCACCTTTTTTAATTTTAATTGGGTTACAGCTACTATGGGATTGTGATCGGATCCAATGTCAGCACCTGGATAAGTTTTAACTGATTTGATGCAGTTTCTATATTAATTTTTTATTAGAATAAAGTCGATTTTGGTTCCTAATAATTTTGTCCTCTCATTCTGCATTTGACTTCCAGGTGTAGAGTCCTCTCGTGGTAGTTTAAAGTGGGTATTCGATATAATGAAATCGTGTTCTTGACAGAACTGGACTGTCGTGGAAGTCGATCTCCACGTTCGTTTCTCTTTCCCAGATCATAATCCCCCACAATGTTCAAACAGCGTCCTTTGCCGACTATAGCGTTAAAATATCCGAGGACTATGATATTTTCTGCTGCTTTAACAAGATATAGAGCATCAGTAAGATTTTTGTAGAATGCTTCTAATTTATCTTCATCACTGTATGATGGGACATAGACCTGAATTACGTTGATAATGAACGGCTTTGAACTAAATTTTACTAGCATTACTCTGTCAGATATTGGGATATAAGTTAATACTGATTGAGCTAAGTGTTTTGCCTAATACTTTACCAGGTGCTTTTCCTAATTTAATACTTTTCATCGCTATTCCTATTTCTTCAGCCAAAAAATGGCCAGGTCGAACACTGATGTTATTTTGAGTGAACTGTTGTGACCAATTCGCAGGAAATAGGGTATTAGCTATTTCCTTCTGTTTTTTTGCACAAAGGCTGTATGGGGTCTCCGTTGTTAACGTTTTTATGCCTTCTTCTTGCTTAATGCCTTCGCCCCACACATAATCTTCTAGTGCTGTGCATAGCTTGACAAGGGATGTAACTTAAAATATATTTTAAGTAAGAAAATCAAGTACATTTGAGCTTTTCAATATTTATTTATACAAATTACTTTGTTGCATACACAAAAATATAAATTTTTAGAATACTAAAATTATATGAGTCTAGATGATCAATCAGGAGAGCGTATAGTTGAAATAATAATAAAAACGTTGATTATAGTAATCTAACTTGATTAATGAATTGTTATTTCTCTTTTTTTGTTTCTATTTCTCTGATTTGTTTTGGAAACATTGGTAAACATCTATAGGAAACCTTACTGATCATTGAAACCTCATACAATTTTGTTTTTTATTTTAATAAATAATCTATCATCAATTTATTCTAATAATTAAATACATCTATGTACAAGCTATTTATAAGTAAAAAAATATTGACTAGAAATCAATATCTAGCTTCATCATTCTTTACAGTGTTTAATATTGTTACAGACTAGTGTAGTCACAGATAATACCTATGATAGATTTTCAGCAAAAAATGAACAATTTTAAGGTACTGATAGCACGTAGAATACTTGTTAAATGAAATGCTGCTTAGCGTCTTTGTAAGATGACAAGAAAATGAATTCCTAACACTAATAGAATGAAGGCACGTTTCGAAAATCCTTATTGTCAAAAATCTTCGTTTTTATAAGATAGAGATCTAGACGCACCGGAAGGCCATTCTTCTTTAATTGTACGAGGTATATAACTTCATCTCTATTGGATCCCAGACATCACTGTGTGTCTGTTAACTATAGTACATTCAACCAACTGACACCTCTAAACGATTAATGGAATTCGCAGAAAACTTTTCCTTGTAATAAAAGGCACGGTTAATTGCACTGGTGTTGTACATAATGTTTAATACTTTGCTAAATTTTTGGTATATAATAAATATATTGAAAGCACATAAGCCTCCAAATATGAAAAATCGAATCCTGGAAGAAAAATCAGCAAGGACAGGATCTCGGCGCTGCTTTGTGCTAACGCGGATGGATCGTATCCTGTCATGATTTAGCAAATCTCGTAAACCCAGAGCTTTAAAAGATATAATGCATTATTTGCCCGTCATATTATAGCTCTAAGAAGGCATGGTTCACCTCAGAGATATTCAAAAATTGGTTCTTTAAATAATTTGTACCTTCGGTCAGAACATTTCAAGAAAAGAAACTGGGAATACCGCCAGAAAAGGTGAAATGTCTATTGATATTATAGACAACGCTCCTGCTCACCCCTCTGAAAATATTTTACGTTCAGAAGATGTTAACTTTAGCTGTATGTTTTTGCCAAAATATACATCATCTCTTATTCAACCCAAGGATCAGGGAATCATTTTGGCCACCAAACGAATATACCGCAGAAAGTTTTTAGACGAAGTTATGGTTGTATTGCACGATTAAAATGATACAGAAGATAGAAGGGGCAGCGTACTTTACAAAATTTAAAGTCTTACAAGTTAAAATCAACAATTTTCAATTTTTGAAGGTAAAGGGAAGAGGTGAAAGAGCAAACTTTACAAAATGGTTGGAAGAATTTGTTTGATGGCCAAGATGCAGACATAGATTTAGATGGGTTGGAAGTTCCTGATTTCTGTAGGACGATACAAAATAATTCCGGAGAACATGCAGCTGAAGAAGACGTTTTACAATGGCTCGAAATAGATGAAGGAGTTTAATGATGATCTATAAATTTAAATAATCATTAAGTACATTATTATAATGTTATTTCCAAAATAATTGTACAGCAGGTGATCCATTATATTTATACATTTATTATTAGACAAATAAACAATAATATTTAAAATTCCATTTGAATTTTTGCTCCTCATTGTATGCAAATTAACTGTATTAAAAACTGTCTCTATTAAAAGATTATGTAGAACTCCAGTGCAGTTGACCATGCATTTTACTACAATGAAAGGTTTTCTGCAAATTCCATTAATCGTTTATAGGTGTAAGTTGGTTGAATGTACTGTATGTAGTCAAGGATCGTCAAGTATTTTAGCCACTTTAGTGTGACACAGTTCTGTTAAGTGAAAAATGTTGAGCATTCACTTCTTCTGGTGCATAATAAGCCACTCTCTATAATAGAGGTTTATTTATTATGGAAAACAGAATGATGTGTACGAATTACAGTCAACTGACTATCTAAACCAATATTTCATGAAGATGGGTCAGTTAATAAATCCGAAACCTCGTATATCTGCATAGTTTTACATTCTGTTGCCTTATATGACTACTTCGTGTATGATATGCTATCAATTCTTTAAAAAATGTAATTATATTTCACCGGATACTCTACAAATGCCTAACAAAATAAATATCTAAGAAAGTTTACAATAAGTAAACAAAGAAAAATACAAAATCATACACAATAGCATAGAAAAATACTAATAATTACAAAACTATTAGTTTAATAGAGCGTTTTTTTCCAATTACAATATCACGAATTTTCTTATAAAATCTTAACTTACATTCACAGACACCAAATATATCCGCATTTTATATAAGGTCTCGTATATTCAATTATTTGAAATAAATCAGATATTTGATATTAACTTAAAAAATACCGACGCATAAAAACGGCAACACCGCTCTTAGGCGACAGGTTTGTCTTAACCTCCTGGGGCGTAGTGCATATTCTGAACTTACCAACTAATACCAAAGAAAACTACTATTACGATAAATTAATACGTCTCGTAAATATTCTTTTTTAATTCTGAATGTTCCAGATTTTACGACCCTTCGGCCAGTTGGAAGAAATGCCAGGTAATAAAAAACCGGTCCCCTACCATTCGAACGTTCCGGAACCAGTATCTTCGCCGAAAGTCAGGAAGGTCGACATCCATCGAGAAATTCCATTCAGAAATTCCAACAGCTGTATTTTGGTATATAACGGAACCTTTTTGTAGAAAACGGGCAGTTAGAAGATATATCGCGCCGAGTTTTAAATGTAAAGCTCGTATAAATAAATTATATTATTGTAAGATAAATTAGTATAAATAAACTCTAAATTAGTTGTAGGTGTTATAAATATAGAACCTTTGATAAATAATAAAAACAATAAATTAGAATTAATAAAGACTTAACACTACTTTACTTTCATAGTGTTGGGGACCTGTATAAGTAACTGTGAAATATGTTAAGTTAAAACAGAGTATAACAAATGAAGCATCGAAGATGGCCTACCATCCTTGTTCACGATGTAAGTATTCATAAAATATTAATGTCATAATATACTTTTTATACAGAAGATATAATTTTGAACCAGCATACAAAGAACCCGAGGTAATACAATCCATAAATATTGGACTTCTAGTATTTTATAAGTATGTAGTAGTCCAGAATGCCCAATCACATAAATCCTATATGCAAAAAAATTAATACCAGTAGTGTGAGTTTACCAAGTTTTTTGTCTTTCCTGAAAAATTGGCAAAACTGGACTTCTTGTCTTTCTGCAGTTAGCGATTCAAATATGGCACTGAGAAAAGCGCCAGATTTTCCATTGCATATTTTTGTTGCTCTAAGTAGGAAGCAAATAAAAGGGTAAAAAATCCAAAATAGTTTAAAAAATACTCTGGGTCTCAGGAGGTTAAACCGTTGTAAGTCAAGATCATCTCAAGTTACGTGGATTCATCAAAGCACGGTAAAACTAATAAAAATAAAGACCTCACATAAATTGTGAAATATTTTTCCATTATCACAGACATAAAATACTTGCGTTAAAATAATTTATTATAAAATCAATTTGTAATAGTTACCTAAAAAGACTTTAACAAAAGACACCGTCATGACCGGTGCAAATTTCAACGAAAATTTAAATAAAGCGTAGTGCAAAGTATACTAATTTGTCCAAACTAAATGCTAAAACATCTTTTTCAGGTAAAAAGAAGTGTTCGTACAGCAAATAGACCGTCACGTTAACGTTTGGTAGATTTTTTGTATGCAAAAATGATGTTCTTTTTGTTACGTGCTGCTTTACGTATTCTATTCAAGTCTATTTGCTGGGAACCTACAACCTTTTCACGGGATTTTATGAACTCAATTCCCTTGATCATATATCACATTTTAAAAAACATTTCTCAAAAGTCAGCAATCTTCTCTCTCAAATGAAACTTCTTTTTATCCAAGCATATGTTCTGATAATATGTGCTGTTTGTCGATGTGATTTCACAGTACATTTCCGTCATCTGTACTCTCTCCATTTCCAGCTTTAGCTCTCTCATACTTCAAGTGTTTACTACTGGCGTGTATTCCGATCCAATAGATCTCAAAAAGAAGAATCCTACTAGAAGGAAAGTCGAACCCAAAAGATCACCGAGTGCTGTTAGATACGGTATGGACGAGTTGTCGGGATCTATCCTGAGTCTCCACATGGTGTGCACGAGCAAGTGGCACAAATAAAGCAGTAAAACAATTTGAAGAATTGCCACAGTGACGTATGTGGCAAGAAAATACGGGTTGATGTTGGAAATACCTTTACTGTTGATTAAGTCGGCTAAGTAGACGAAAACTATGTGGCCTGGTACAGAGAGCAAAAGCAGCAATCTCGCGGACTTTGCGGGTAGTACTAAAACAAAAAAAAACAATTAATTATAAAGAAACAATCGCAAACAACTTACACTTAAACAGTTTGTAACGTTTCAACAAAATCTGTAGTATTTAATAAAATACTTTTAATTTAACACGCTTAATTTCATTTAATTTTACATAATTTTATTTAACCTTGCTTTATTTAAGTTTTACCATTTTTTATACAGTAGACTCACGATAATTTATTTATTTATATACGGCATCCATTTACTTACAATTTTTACAAAGTTACATCTTAAACACAATATATTATTAAAATAGCAATCACAAGTTTTACAAAGTTACACCTTAACAACAATAAATTATTAAAATAACAAACACCTCAGAATACTACAAACATATAAGAATAAAACAGATGTGCAACCAACTTATTGTAAGATACTTTTTAGTTGTTTTTTAAACAAACTAATTTTGGAGTCAAAAATATCTATTTGCCTTGGCAAGCTATTAGCACTCCGGACCATTCGTGTAGTTGGTTCATTGATACCATAATTAGTGTGGTGAAATGGCACCGAAAAGATTTGATTGTCTGTTGCTTCTACTAGGAACTTTAAGACTAACAAGCGATAAGAGTTGAGGACAATCTATAAAAGCATTGATAACTTTATGTAAGAAACATAAATCTAACAATGTCCTCCTTGACTCAAGTGTTGGTAAGTTAAGACTATCTCTTACCCGCTAATAGTCGTATTCCTCTCTCCTGTATCCACTCTTATAGGCTGCTACCCTCAAAAATTTATTCTGGACTCTTTCAATCTGTTGAATGTAACAGTGGTATGATGGGGACCATACAACTGATACAAACTGAAGAATGGGCATAACTAGACCACAATAAAGTCTTCTAAATGTAAATAAAGACAGATCCACAGATCTGCGTTGGATAAATCCCAGCACTTTCATCGCTCTGTTTGTTACTTGGTTAATGTGGCTTGAGAATGACAGTTTGGTGTCTCACCAAATTCCCAAATCTAATACTTCATTTTTCGAGGCTAATGGCAAGTTATTTATGTAGTAAACAAATGTAATTGGATTTCTTTGCCTCGAGAATATCATTTTATGACATTTTGTTTATATTGGGTGACATTTTGTTTAAAGTGCACCAATCATAAAACGATTTAAGATCTTCGTGTAATATAACAGCATCATTCCAGGACTGAATTTTTCTAAACAGTTTTACATCGTCAGCAAACATAAGAACACTACAATTTTTGATTTGTTGTACAAAATCAACCAGAAACAAGCAAAACAAAACAGGGCCACAATGGGAGCCTTGTGGCACGCCTGATGGAACTGTTATTTCAATTGAAGTGTCACTTCCCAAGTTAACTGTCTGCGTACGGCCACTAACAAATTCTGTAATCCACTGAAGAAGGGGATCCAAAATACCCAAAGCTCTTAGTTTTTGTAAGAGGACCCCATGGTTTACCCGATCAAATACTTTGGAAAAGTCAGTATATATTGAGTCAACCTGGCACCCCTCTAATCCGAGCTAATTGATACCTCGGATACCGAAAGACTTGGAGATCGGGCATTTGCTTAAAATAAACGAAAAATTCAAAAGTTATGACGTATGTAATTAGTTTATTAGGTATAATTGAAGTATGTAAGGAAAACATTTACGTATTTGATCATCTTCATGTTTTAAAAAAGTCTTTGATATATTTCTGCGTCAACTTCTAGCCTCGTTTTAACGCTGCAATGTTGCGCCAACGCTGAAGATGAAGGACTTCGGTAGGGGATTGACTCTTCCTGTTGCTCAATGCAGGCAGGTGCAGCTCCAATCACCTTCAATCCTTCGAAGTAAGATATTTTCTCGATTATCTCATCTGTGTCATCCTCAGTGATATTGTGTAGGTTGATAACCATAGTTCCATTTGCTAATTTTGCATAATCCACTTGTTGACGTTATCATCAGTTATCAAGCCGTTATCTACCAAGCTTTTCTTGGTAGGTTTTTCTCATCAACGCACTACGTTGATTCCAGAACATGGTGAATAGGCAGTACTTGAATATTTTAAAAACCAAAGGACACTTCGATTTTCCAATAAATAGAGGTCTTAATTTTAAGGATCCAGAAGAGTTGCTACACGTCAAACGAGTTACTCGTTCTTTACTTTTTTTGTATCCAGGCGCAGTTTCTTCACATTGGGCTGCCAGTGTTTTGGTTGGAAGCATTCTGAAATTAAGACTCGTTTTGCCACAACTGAAGAGATGCTCTGACGTGAGGCCATGTTCTAAAATGATTTTTGACCCGAAATGTTAAGACCCGGATACAACAGCTCTTCTTCCATCTGTTGAGCCAAAACCATCACTTGTAGTAAAATTTTCCTCGGCATCCTTAAACCGTTTGTGAAACTCGACAGCCTTAGCTTGAAGCATGGGGCCACTAATTGGACTTCCCAACCCTCGAAGATTAGAAAACCATAAAAATAAGGCTTCAGAAGTATGTTCGTATTCTCCTTTCTTTTTAGTTTTCCACAACTAATAAACTTCCACCACTCACACTTATATTGACCCATTCTTCTTCTTCTTCACTGGCTTTACAACTCGGGGAGTCTTCACCGCATCTATTATCGCCCTCCATCCTCTACGATCTTGCGCTTCTATGTCCCATTGTTGTATCCCAATTCTAGATAAATCGGCTTCAACATCATCCTTCCATCTTTTTCTCGGTCGGCCTACTGATCTTCTACCATCTGGTCTTTCAAAAAACACTGTCTTTAACACTCTGGTATCCTCTGATCGTAGCACGTGACCTTATTCGGTTTGCCTTGATATGTTCAACTATGTTTTCAGTTCCATACAGAGTCACCAATTCACCTGTGAATTCATCTTTTTGAGGGCCAAATATTATTCTGAAAATCTTTCTTTCAAATACTAGAAGCTCATCGATTTCCCGCTGGTTGAGAGTCCATGTTTCACTGCCACATGTAATAATTGGGCGAATAATCGACTTGTACAGTGTTCATTTAGATTTTATTTTTAGCAGCTTCGATCTTAATATTGTTGAAAGGGAGTATAATGCTCTATTTCCCGTAGCTATCTTTGCTAAGACCTCTTTTTCTATGTGGTTATCAGCTGTGATAATCGCCCCCAGGTATTTAAACTTCTTTACTTTACTTTATTGACCCATTGTTTACTATCTTTTCGTTTAAAGATAACGCTCTAATCTCCCGCAGTAGCTTCTTTATCACCTATGTCAGCAGCAACCTTTTTTGCTGACTCATCCTTATCCAAGTGTTTTATAGCACCTAATTGTGTTTCTAAAGAAACTACACTTCAAGTTACGTAGAAATTACACAAAGAGAAGATATGAATGAACTTGTAAGAGCTTAGAGTCTACAGTGGTACGAACCGAATGTGTCCATATTATTCGCAGAAGATACTTGTCTTTCTTGTTTAGTAATAATTAGAATTGTTCAACAGAAATTGCCATCATGATGGTGATATCTACATATCTTATGTCGTTGATAGTTCTTCAGTTAATTAATATTCCATAATTTCCATATAGAAGTGCCTCTTCAAAAATCACGTCACTACATACATCGAATAGTAATGGGAACATAATACATCCTTGCCTCACTCCTCTCATGACAGAACACAATACAGAACGGACAAAACCTACAAAAAGTTTACTTACCTCCACGAATAAGTGCTTGGAACGGAGTGACCCACTGTTTGGTGTGTAGCGGAATGACTCCTTCGAACGAAGTCTTGTGCAACATGGTAGATATTCGACTAGCTTGTACAGAGACTAGGTTTCCTCCTAAACCGTTGATTATCGGTTGGAATACGGTGTAGCCTTTGAATTTGTCGACGGCAAGGTCCAAAATAAGTCCTCCCGAACTGTAAATATAAATATTGTTCAAATAATGGTCGCTTTGATTAAGAAACTGGTCTAATTAGTTTTCTTTACTTTTCTTACATGTTAAGTTTGTAACGGACTGTATTTAATGAGAATAAAACTTACTAGTTAATAACTTAATGTGCTTTAATACATTAATAAATGATTAATTTCAACAAGGCAAATTAATTCCCTTTAGTCAAAATCCTTTATAAAATGTACTTAGGTATACAGGGTAGTCCTTAAAGTAATTGTAAAAAAAGAAATCGTAGATTACACACTTAAAATATTACGAATTAAGTCAAGTTGCTTTAATAAAATGTTGATATTAAGAAAGATACAGGGTGTTAAAGTGGAAATTTAAAATTTTATTTTTCGCTATAACTTTCATGTTTGTCAACATTTATGTACAAAAATTTACAACTGGGTACTAATAAATATTAGAAATTATAATTTGATGTATACTTTGATGTAGCTGATAGAGGGCGCCACATATGTGGTATACATTTGCACTTAACTTTTTTTGGTTTTCAAGTTACCGGTATTTTTAATAAAAATATTAAAGATACATTATTTAACAAAAAAATGGTATACTTAATATCTTCAAAACTCAACATTTTTCGAGATATTTTTCTTTAACAGGTTGACTGCGTTACCGGTCCCGTGGGACCGGTGTTCGTTATTATTAAAGTGCGGTATGTGAAAACTGCAAACTTTTAAAAATTGCGAAGAGCATATCTTCGTTAATATTCGTTTGTTTTAAATGCTAAAAACAGCATTATACTTGTTTCAAGATTCCAAACATTTTTAAAAGAAAAAAATGTACCGGGCTTTGGGGGCCGGTAACGCACAGACATTACAATTTGTTACTCGGGTGCGAGACCGGTCCTGTGGGACCGGTGCATATTTATATATGCTTGCTTGCGCAGTCAATCCACGTTTAGTATCGTTTGTATTTCAATAGCAGGTGTGTTTATGTCTGTGTTTTACTAGTCTAAAAATGTCATCTCGCGTTAAAAAGATTTTGTTTTTAGCTAAAACAGCTGATACAAACAAAACAAAAACTGTAGAGTGTAACGAACCGAGTACTTCATTTGAAAATAAAAAATATAACGAAGATAACCCAAGTGTTG